GACACAGGCAGAAGGAGAAGCAGGCTCCATGCACCGGGAGCCCGATGTGGGATTCGATCCCGGGTCTCCAGGATCGCGCCCTGGGCCAAAGGCAAGCACCAAACCGCTGCGCCACCCAGGGATCCCTTAAATTTTTTTTATTTTTTAATTTTTTTTATTTTTCTGTTCTTTCACCAGTACTACACTGTCTTGATTGCTGTAACTTTATAGTGAGTTTTGAAGTCGGAACTATAAGTCCTCTGGCTTTGTTCTTCAATATTTTGTGGCTATTCTGAGTCTTCTACCTCTCTCTGTAAGCTTTAAATTCACTTGTCAATAACCACAAACACCTTATTGGGGTTTTGATTGGGATTGTGTTGAATCTTTAGATCAAGCAAGGAAGAATTGACATTTTAACAATATTTATTTTTCTATCCATGAACATTGAACATTTCTCCATTATTTAGTTTTTAAAAATTTTTTTCTTCACCTTTTTATCTCGTGTTCATCTTATATATATGGTATTAGATTTATACCTAATTTTCATTTTGAGGTACTAATGTAAATAGTATTGTTTTTAATGTCAAATTCCACTTGTTCATTGCTGGCATATAAATAAATGATTGACTTTTGTATGTTAACCTTGTATCCTGTAACTTTGCTTATTAGTTTCAGATTTTGTTGTTGTTATTGTTGAATCTTTGGGGTTTTCTACCTAGGTGATCATGTCATCTGCATACCTTTATTTATTTTTCTTATTGCATAAGCTAGAAATTCTGGTACAGTGTTGTAAGGGGCTGGTGAAAGGGGACATCCTTGCCTTGTTCCTCATTTTAGTGGGGGAAGTTTCATTATGTTAGATGCTTAAATTTGTCAGTGTAGCGTGTATCTCCATGTGACAGATTATGTATTGTTGTTTATTGTCAGATTCTCTTCCTCTAGAATGTTAGTCCTTTAAAGAGATCATCGTGTCTATTTATTATCACTGTTGAGCTTCCATCGCTTAGCAGAACTTATCAATTAGCAGTAAATATTGATAAAGTATAAATAAGTGAATAATTAAGGCCTTTACTTCCTAAATTTTAATGGTGATCATAAGATAATACAGAAAGAAATTCCCAAAAATTATTGTGACAATAATATTAAGAGTTTAATATGATTAGATGACTAGAAGAAAGAAATTTAAAGATGATTGGTATTGCTCAGGTTTCTAGCTTAGGGACTCTTCATTCAACACACTCTCTCTCTTTAGACAATCTCATTTGCTCACATGGTTTCAGTTTACCATGCTGTTGACCCCCAGATCTCTATTTAGTCTGACTCTTGCTTTCTTTTTTTTTTTTTTTAAGATTTTATTTATTTATTCTTAGAGACAGTGAGAGAGAGAGAGAGAGAGGGAGGGTAGAAGGGGGAGAGGGAGAGAGTGGCAGAGGGAGAAGCAGGCTTCATGCAGGGAGCCTGATGCCGGGTCTCCAGGATCACACCCCAGGCCGCAGGCAGTGCCAAACCGCTGTGCCACCGGGGCTGCCCTGACTCTTGCTTTTCAAAATCAGATACCTACTGGACATCTCCACTGAGATATATCATAAATATATCAATTCAGCATAACCAAAACAAACTCAGAATTTTTCTACCCAAACTTATTCCTCCTTTCTGTATTCTCTATCAAAGAAGAGAAGTACTATCATCAAGCTAGAATGCCAAGTGCCACATTTGGTATCCAAGACTTTCTCCTTCTCTCCATCTAATACATGACAGAATCTTGTTAACCTTCCTTCCTAAATTCTTAAATCCATCCAATTCTCTGTAACCACTGCCTTATCTTAGTTAAGACCATCAACATCATGGCAGGTTGCTTCCATTCTGTTTTCTTGCTTTCTTTTCTCATTCATTCTTTATACCTTAGAGGAATTTTGTAGTTAAAAAAAGAAAAATTTGAAGAAGCAGATATAGAAAACCTGAAGTTTAGAGAGTTGGAGTGATTTGTCCAAGATGACAGAGCCAAGAAGTGGTGGAGCTGGGTGGCAAATTCTGAGTGACTATAGCCTGTAATGACTGACTAGAACTCACTTTCTCAAGCTATTTCCAGTAATGTCAATGAGTACTTGAGTTGTTTGTAGAGCATTCTCACATTTTTCATCTCTAATAACTTTTTGAGGTGGAGATTGTAATGACTTATACTTGTCAGATGAGAAAATTGAGAAGGGGAAGATAGGTAACTTTCTCAAGGATAAGCTGCTGTTAAGTGGTGGAGTCAATGCTAGAAATTGGTTTCTGACTCCCAAACCCATACCTTTAATCCTGGAATTCACTAATGTTTGCAGATATATAGTATACTTTTTTGGGCTTGATTGTGATTTGATTTGGTCCCAGCACTGTGATCAAGTGTGGTTCAACTTACTTGAATTCTCAGTGCTTCAATTTCTTCATCTATAAAGTGGAGATATTATTTATTGTATAGGTTATAGATGGACGCAAAGCATTTATTAGTGTCTGACACTAATAAAGTGTTAGTTATTGAGATATAGTAAGAGTTTGCTATTATTAATACTAGCCAGACTTCTTACTTTCTGTTACTTCAGGCTCTTTGTTACCAAGTAATGAATAGCTTTCCACATTACTGTATATTCCTTTTTTACTCTATTTCCCTAAGCATTATATACCTGTGTTTCCAACATGCCTTTGCTTTAGCTATTCCTTTATTTGAAGTGCCTCATTTTCTTTTCTCTGCTATTTAAAGTTTTCTTAAGGTTTCCACATTCTCTGAAATATTTTTCTGATTATTTTAGCTGTGTTAATCTTTTCATTCGTGAACTCTTAGAGAATTTCTGTAATTGTACTTGATTTATTTCTGAGTTTTACTTTCCCTGTTTTTCAAGTTTATTATGGTGATGAGCATGTAACATTTGCTCAGTAAATGTTTATAACTGTTTGATTATAGTATTCGGCACACATTATTCAAGAAGTTTTATGTGTCAGTATCAGGCACCCATCAGTACTTGGGCCATGAAGATAGGTAAGACCTAGTCCCTACCCTCATTACTCTCAAGTAGTTCATAATATAGTTGATAAATTATAGCTTATATTTATGTAGCACAGCAGTTCTTACCCTCTCTTCTGCTTTCACATCATTCATAATATGTGCAAGTCACTTTTACCATTAATATCTCATTAGACACATTCACTAGGGGAGCATTTCCCTCCGGCATTGAGGTTTCCTTACTTTTAATATTTAAAAAATTTTAAAAGCCCTTCCTCATGTCCTCTCTTATTTAAGTGTCCTAACAAACAGATGAGGTAGGAATTAAGGTAGCTATAAATGGAAAGAAAATTGAGATCTGTAGACAGGGATGTTACATTCCTACCCTTAGTGAAGAAACTTAGTCTCAAAGAGCTTTTTTAGACTCAGATGGAAAGTTAACAATAGAGTTGGGACTTAGATTACCTAGATACTGAAGTTGAGATTAGCAATTGAATAAGAAGCACCTGATGCTAAGTAGTTATTGACTTATATTTCTTATTTTAAACTTTGTATTATAGGAATCTTTACACAATTACAAAAAAAGAGGAGTATGATGGATCTCCATATACCTAGCAACCAATTTCAACAATTATCAGCATTTTGCTAATGCTATTTTGTGTGTGTGTGTGTGTGTGTGTGTGTATATACATATATATATACATATATATATAATATATATATATTCTGTGTGTGTATGTGTATATATAATATATATATATTCTACCTATAAATATTTTCAAGATGAGCCCTGACTTTAAATTTTATTGAATATAGCTATGAAAAGTACATTAATATTTTTAAAATACCTTAATTCTCTTCATGGTGCATTATTCCATTAGAAATATAGCGGTGTTCAACAGATTTTCAAATACATCTATATCTATATCTGTGGAAATATAAAGTTTTAGGTTGCTATTTCTTAAAGTATAGAAGTAATTCAATTCTAGAATACTTTATTGATATAAAATAATGTGACTTGGAGGGGGAAATTTAGCTAAAGGAGACAATTAGCTGATTATGTGCTTCCTATGAGTACTGTTTTTAGAAAATAGGTGCTTTCAGGAGCATCTCTTTTTAACACATTTAAGAAATTTTTGTTAAAATATATGTATTTTCTAGTAGGTTTCTCTTTTCTTCTACCATTCTTTTTCTTTTTTCAGAGGAAGAGATATTCCTTCTCTTCTCCAAAATCTAACCCTAGCAGCAGTATACTAGACATTATTTACCTCCCTTGTAGAATTCTGCTACTTCATTTATCACCTCTTTTTATCTGTACTCTTTGTCTCCTCTGTCCTGTCAGCCTACAGGCCTTCAAATCTACCTTATTAAAACCCACAAAAACAAAACAAACTTCCCTTGATTCTATGTACCAGCTGCCTGTCTGAATGCTTTTGCTGACACTTTGTTGGCCTCAGGGAAGGCCGAGCTTCTTAGTATGGATAGAAGGTTCTTTTCCCTCTATCTCCTAGGTATCTTTCCATCCTTGCTACTTATTCCAAATACTATTGATGTTAATTCAGAATAGCAATTGTAATAAACTAAACAGTCACAAAATTGTTATATTAGCACTGTAATTAATACACAGTACATATCATACCAGGATCTAGAACCAGAACTCATTCATTCTTGCTCAGTTCAGTTCAATAAAATTCACCAAACATTTAAATTTCTACTGTGAAAATAAATAAATAAATAAATAAATAAATAAATAAATAAGTAAGTAAGTAAGTAAGTAAGTAAGTAAGTTAGTTTCTACTGTGTGCTAGGTGCTGTTCTAGATTTAAAGACTCTGAAATCCACTTGCAATTGAATGTGACATCAGAAGCAATTACAGAAATGCCATGTACCTAAATATATAACAGTTTCTGTTCGTTATCAATGAAGTCAACTTTTGTAGTATGACAATGTTAAGATTTATTTGTAATTTTCTCTGCCAAATGATTATGGTCAAACTATGGTCAAATCATTATCTAATTGTATTTTTAAATTTATCTTTTAGGGACAGTATGGAAATTACCAGCAGTGAAGAAGTACTTACATTCCAATAGCCAGTATCTATTAGCAGCCATATTGTCACCTCAGCACTGTGGACACCTCTGTGTGAAGAGATCCTTCCATTCCATCTAGTTTTTGGAAAAACTTTGTGGATAAGTGGCTGTTTCATCAGTAAGCAGCCTTTGTGGCTTAGTTGTAAAGGCTTTAGTAGCTAAAAAATACTCTTGATTTCACATTTCTACTCTAGATGGCAACATTGGACAGAAAATACAATGACATAACCAATTTGCAATGATTTGGGAACTGTGTTTCAAATGGACTGTTACAGACTGAAAGGTGTGAACAGCTTTGTATGTTTATGAAGGTTAAGGGAATTTAATACTTTTCCACAGATTCTTTTGTAAGGGGAAGAGGGAAATGTACACTTTTTACAGCAGCAATATTTTGTATATTATGTTTATTTCATGTGGTGAATATGCAAGGCGGTACACTACGCGTTGGACAGAATCAGAAATCCTCTGTTAATGTGGATTGGAGCTTGGTGGATGCTTGATTGTGTTGGTCTCAAAATGGTGTACTATAGAAGATAAAGGTGAGGGAGAAGACAAAGCACACCATATGTCCACTATTATGTTCTTTAGAGGAAATTCAGATCCCTTTTATCTATTAGATAATCAAGGGCACTGTGATAGTTTTGAGTAAAAAGACATTTTTTAAAAGCTTTCCAGTTTTGTGGATTAAAACCTTTTTATAAAGATCATTTATAATACAGTTTTAAAATGTGAGGCAATAAGAATGACTTCATGTGGGATCTGAAAAATCTTGGTAGCAGTTTCATATAAATGAAGTGGTGATTCTTCTAAAATAGCAATAACTGAAAATGGAAATGTTAATTTTACTTTAAGTAATCAGGGAACTTAGAAATATCAAAGCATTTTTTAAATGGTATCAAGAAGAGTCAACATTGATCCAGTAATTTTATTTTTTAACATTAAAAGGATAATTGGTTTATATAATAGAATAGTTCAGGAGACTTTACAAATCTTTATTTCAGCTTTCTTCACTGGAAATAATGCCATTTATAAAGGGACACTTAAGTTTTTCCCTTTTTATGTTGGTTAATATAACAAAGAGATGTTTAGGAAAATGCTTATTGACGAGGTTTATTCTGATCTGTATTAAAAGCATAGAGGTTGCATTCTAGATCACTTTATTAGTGTGGCATATTTAATCATATTCAAGAGTGTCCTGTGCCTGATTATTTTAGCTAAATTCAGGGATATTGCATTGGGCAGGAAATCATGCATTGAGAAGTTTATAACCACAATTATTTAAGCATAATCTGAAAACATCTAGCCTAAAGGTAAGTTGCTATTTTCATCACAGTTGCCTATGCCCAGGGAATAAGATGTATTCTTTATAATTGAATTGTTTTTTCCCCACTTCTAACTGGAAACAAAGCAGAAGGGGTGCCATAAATTTGAATAAGCAAAATGTACTGTTTCAACATACTGTAATCAAAAGGAGGAATTTTAATATGTTTCTGTGTGTGTATGAAAGAGAGTATGTGTGTTTTAAGGTCTGAATAGAGTTTTTTTTCAACTTGGTCAGTAGAAAATGGACATCAAATTTGAACAGATAAAGCATGGACAGCCTTATTGTGATTGAAAATGCTTATAGGTTCTGTGCCAATTTTCCACCACTGTGTACTTTGTTGCTATTTAAAACTGTATCAACTCTAACGGAAGAATAAATTATTTGTGATTTTAATTTTCTCATTTGTTTCTTTAAATTAGATCTCTTTGACTCTCTTGTTTTGTCTGGAGACTTTGCTGTGGGTTTTTTATATAAGTTAGTCTGGTGTAAGCAGACTATATTTGTATTCTAGGACTTTATCAAAATTCTCTTGCCATGCCCAAGTTAATTAGAATTAACTGTTCAGTAATCAGCATGTTGTGTGGGCTGTTTGTTATAGAATTCTTTTTCTGAAAATGAAGTCCATGAGGCTATAATCAAGATGACTGAATTAGATAAATGAGTTGAGGAGACAAAATTGTACTGAACCCAACCTGGTGTAGATATGTTATCTCATTTGAAATAAGCTCAACTGACATTAAGAAATAATTTGTCTTGCCAACCCATCTTCTGTTGTCTTATTCTCCTTTTAATGGAAACTAAAATTGCAATTTTAATAAGCAGAATTTCCTCCAGGACTTTCTTTCTAGAGACTAGTGCATTTGCAAGGTTTAATTGTTTTATAACAGTCCTATTTCGTAAAAGTTTTTAATTGGTGGTGACAAAAATTACTTTACTCCTTTGATACCTAGTAGGAAGACTAGCTGTACCAGGAGCTTTTTTCCAAATCTGACATTCCCGTATAGACTAAATTCCCAAAAACTGAAGTTATTATTTTATCAAAATGTATTACAATGAATAAATATCATGCCATCATATAAAATTCCAGAAGCAAAACATTACTAAGAAAAGAGTGTGGTGATTATTGATCAACATTTTTAAATACTTAACTGAACTAGTTCAGTTGTTTAAGAAATATGTTAGCATTATTCTATAGACTTGTGGTGGCACATTGCTTTTGGTATGTTTCTGTTTTTATTTTTTTTTAGTGGAATATTCAGACAGATGCCCAAGTAGAGAGAATGTTATAATCAGCCCCATGGTCCATTAACCTAACTTAGATAACTGGTTCACTTAGGAAGCCATGGCTAATCTTGTGTTGTCTATATACCAACCCACAAGTGGAAGCAAACACTACATCCTTGAAATATTTCGTTAAGTACCTCTAAATAAGTACAGTTGACTACGTGGGTTTGAACTGCATGGGTCCACTTATATGCGGATATTTTTTCAATGAATACAGTGCCATGCTATAAATCTATTTTCTTCTCTATGATTTTCTTACTAACATTTTCTTTTCTCTAGCTTACTTTATTGTAAGAATACAGAATATAATACATATACAAAATATAATCAGCTGTTTATGGTATTGGTAACAGTAGGCTATTAAGTTTTTGATGAGTAAAAAGTTACACGTAGATTTTTGACTATGTTAGGGGCTTCGTGCCCCTAACTCCTTTGTTGTTCAAGGGTCAACTGTACTCTTTAAAAAACACTTTGGGGGCAGCCTGGGTGGCTCAGCGGTTTAGTGCCACCTGCAGCCCAGGGCATGATTCTGGAGACCCTCCCTGCATGGAGCCTGCTTCTCCCTCTGCCTTGTGTCTCTGCCTCTCTCTCTCTCTCTCTCTCTGTCTCTCTCTCTCTCTCTCTGTGAGTCTCTCATGAATAAATAAAATCTTTAAAAAAAACCAAAAAAACAAAAAACAAAAAAACAAACACTTTAGCACCAGGACTCTTCCTGCTCTTGAAATTTTGTAATTTCACTATTAGTGATTAGAAACCAAAATTTGTATGAATAAATTACCACTTTTTCTTTCACTTAAAAATCATTCTTGAATAATTAAGACCATAGCAAAAATAGATTGCACAAAAAGTGAACATGCTCCATAATTTCATCTCTTAAAGGTAACAGTTGTTAAAAGGTTTGATGCATTTCTTTCAACTTGATTTTACACATATAAGCCAACATCTATTACTGTTTTGTCTCTTTCAACAAAAATGGAATCAGATACAAGTCATACTATTTTGTAACTTCCTTTTTTTTTAATGTTAGAAATATCTTGAATACTCCCTATTCTGTGTTGTCCCTAATTTTTTACTATTAGGAAAATAAAACATAAGTGATCCTGCGAGGATTTGGGGGTTATTTTTGTGTGTGTGCTTGGTGAGATATTTCTATACAGTAAATTTTGAATGTTAGGTGTAAGGCTATGTATTAAAAGATGTCCCCCTAAAAAATAAATTCTTGCCAGTGCCAGATTATTAGCCTTGTTAATTTTTACAGTTGTAGTAGGCTTTAAAAAGTGCTCTTAGGATTTAATTTGAAATACATTTGTTTGTAACTTTGAACATCTTTTCAAATGCTTAAAGGCACTTTATTCTTTGCTGCAAAATACCTCTTAATGTCCTTTGTTCATTTTTCTGTTGGGATGTTTTTTGTGTAAGAGAGAGGAAATAATATAAATACATATGCACAAATATATATAGTTCTCTATGCAAATATTAATCCTATGTCTTCTATATATTGCACATCTCTTCAGATATGCAATATGTTAACTTAGGTTATGATGTCTTTTACTGTATTAAGGTTTTAAGATTTTACATATTCATAATCATAGCTTCTTTCAACCTCCCTAATTTGCCAATTTATAAAAAAGTATTTTGCTTCCATTTTTCTAAAATTGTACATGGAAAGTTTAGAGCATTTACCTTTTTCCTATGTGGATAACTGGTTGTTTCAACGTTATTTATTGAATAAACCAACTAATTTGAGATGTCACCATATTCTGTTTATTTAAAACACAAATTATAATTAAGGCATGTTTAATTTAATGCCATTTCAGTGACTGGTTAGATTCACTTAAGTACAGTTTTGTTGGCATAAAGTTGTGGATTCTTTCCCCCTAAGCAAGCTGTTTTTTATTGGTGAAGAGTTAACTGCAAGGGTTTAAATAATGACTGGCTTCTTAACAGAGAATTACTAAAATGTGATTTTTACAGAATAAGTAGAACCTCTTGCTTGTTGGAAGTTTTCAAGTTCTTTAATTTTTCTTGTACCTTGGCAGTTAATTACCTCCATAGATGCCCCAAAGTATTTCAGTTTGATTATTATAAAAAGTAAGAAGTCAATATACATTTTTTATTTTTAAAACTCCAAGTCTCAGAAATAGACACTGCAATATAATTTTCATTAATTCAGTAAAGACCTGTAAATAGGGTAATCATATGATTTATTGCTTAATCTGGGAAACTTGATAATGAAAGGAGGATACTATACACAAGCATACGTGTATGTATGTACGTGTACATGGGCATAAATGTATATGTATGTGTGGATTTTATACTTGTACATATGTGGAATTGTACATATATAGATACATAAATATCTTATTTTGTCTTTTTCCTGATAGAGGTCCATAGTTTAAGAAGTTCAATATGCAAGTGATACATTTGTTTTGGCTATAATCTTTAACTGTGGTAACATATTGAGAGATTTTTCATGAAACAGTGCATTAAAAATACTTAATGTTAAAATAGATGAATAAAAAGTCCTAAATATTTTGAGACACTTTGATCATTTTGGTCTGTATTAGGGTCTGAATTCCCTAATATTCTGTTTCCTTTTAAAAAAAAATACCCAAGTTCTGGATGGGCACATAACTGTGTACCTAATGCCTACATTTAACAGCATCCTGTGCAACTAGACGTGGTCAGTGACTAAGTTCAGCCAGTGGGATGTGAGTTGGAGTGATGCATGCAGCTTCTAGATCACAGCCTTAAAAATGTACTCCATTTTCTTTTTTCCATTTCCCAAGGGCTGGAACATGACATATCAGTGGGAAGATTTAACCTTACAGATGAGAAAAATATCTTAGAGAATGGCAATGCATCTAGATAGAATCAAAATTCCCCCGAATGGCCTCCTGAAGCCCATTCTGTTGCCTATTGGTGTGGACGCCCAACATGAGAAAATTAACACTCCTGTCTTATTAAGCAGCAGAGCCTGTAGTTCAACATAGGATCATACAGTAGAAGGCCATTAACATTATGCTATATAGCATGTTCTGTTTGGAGTCCTAGTTTTTACGGATAACAGGCTAGTATATTATGTGTGTAGTATACTTCATAACGGTTCAGTGCCTAATCATTCTTGACTCATGAAGTAGGACAAACTGTATTTCCTCTAAGATCATCCTCTGCTTTCTATCACTTGAATGAACTGAATGCTATAATTTAGTAACAATAGATTTAATTTTAAAGTATTGGTAAAAATATACTTCATATTTATCATTTTGGCGTGTGTCTAGTAACATTTTAAAATCTCTTCAGTTTTTAACTTTTATTTTGGCTTCTGTTTTAATTTGTTCTTAGCACTTTTTGTCTAATGCTTTCTTATGGTTTCTTTAGTCTTTTGACTTTCACTATATGAAGTGTGTACTTTGATTCTAACTTTCCTGCCAACTTTTCTTTTGGGGAGAAAAAAAAAAAAGATGCACTAAAAGCATTTGGTTTTTATACCTATTGTGGATCTTATTCAGCTTACGTCAAATATGAAGAATTTCATATACTCTTTCATACAGATCATCAAATTTTTTACCTTTGAGGACTCTTAATATTAGTAGATCAAAATACTGTTTATAACTACCAAGGATTTTATCTTCTATCAATATTACTATAGCAGGGAATTATTTCTGTTAATGCTTAGTAAATTAAGAGCAAGGAAGTGTAGCTGTGGCTTTCTTTTCAGTACTAATATCATTCTATCCATAGAAATCCTATTTTCTGTTCATTAATTTCAGTATTCCATTCTTTCCCAAGATCTCACTTCACAGCAAGCTTTCATACTTCAAGCTCAACATGTTAGTGCTCAGTCCTCATTCCCACATAAACACAACCATTTTGAAAACGTGAACTGATATTAATTACCCCCTTGGCACCAAAAAGTCAGGATTTCCTGATGCGGCACGCTAATGTAAAATGCATTAGTGCAAACGCTGGCTCCAAGGGGTAATACTCTCTAAATAAACACAGCAATGTTTTTCTTTATTCACGACTCTCAGGCTATTCTGAAAGTCATTCATCCTCCATACCCCCCCAAAAGCATTTTGAGTTTTAATAAGTTATAACTGGATTTT